ATCATTATCATATATTATAAAATGATTTTCCTTTGGTTTTAGCAATGCTTCACTGCAATGGAATACCGATAGAGCAAACGCATGGAATTTTAGATGAATTTTTATCAGATTTATTAGAAGGAACATAACAATGCGAGGCGCTAAAGGGAGAGAGAGAGAGAGAGAGAGAGAGAGAGAGAGAGAGAGAGAGAGAGAAGGAGAGAGACAGAAAATTCTATTTTAAAGATGTTCTCGTTGTCGCCGCAAACACAGTAAATACTGTTCGAAACAGTGCGGCCTTCGAAACGACAACAGCGGCGAAAGTTCCATTTAATCGAAGAGAGCAAAAAAAATGGATGACAGATAAATTCTTATAGTGTATGCTGTGTGTTTGTGTTTGTATGAGAGAAGGAGAGAGAGAGAGGGAGAGTGCAAGGAAAGAATATGCCAATGAAAAATAATAAAGCAGAGAACCAGAAGAATACAATCATTTACTGACATTGATATAGACCAATATATACAGTCAGATTTATAGTGAACAGAGCGCGCATACAAACCGCGTGCGCACACGCTCGCGCTCGCTCACATGCCTATCCACTTGCTTCAATCCGATCTTTTTTGTTCGCTACTTCTCTTGCCTGCTCTTTCCGCTTCGTTCCTTATTCGTTTAGTGTTTTTTTTTCTTTTTTAAATAATAATAATATTGAATACATTCGGTGATACGAATGAACGATGAAAAAAAAAACGTCGATTTGGTTTAATGTCGAGTCTTTGTTTGATATTGATATTAGACAAGTTTCGAGACTCATTCGCTCTCTCTGTCTCTCTCGCGCGCACTCAAAAATGCTATCTTTTATGTATTTCAATTTAATAATCGCGATTATCAGTTATGCACTTGTCTTTAAAATGTCAATATTCTCGAAACGTGATTGCATGATTTGGCTAGAATACAATGGCGAAGAGAAGAAAACAAATAACAACAATGAATCATGGCCACACTTCAAATTAACATTTCGTATTAGATTGGCTTTTGTCATCGATTCAATATTCAAGTCTTAATAAGCAATCGAAATTTCAACGTAAACGGCTTTCGTGTGTTTAGTCTTCTCTCTCTCTCTCTCTCTCTCTCTGTGTGTGTGTGTGTGTTTTTTTTCTGTTTGCTCTGCGACTAATCAAATGGCATAGTAATAGTTTTCAAACGAGAACAGGTTCAAATAAAACTGTGTTGCCAGTCAAATGTCATTCGCATTCATTTGTTTTTTTGGTTTCATTTCGAATAATTAACGACAAACTGAAAAATTTTGTGCTATAAGTATATTTTCCGAGATGCCGTGTTCTCATTGCAGATGCTATTTTAGTGTATGAGCTTTTGCAATTTTCAGTGCAATGGTCTAACGAGTGAATAGCTTAATTATCGCTGACGGATCTACGTAAATGAAATCACGTCCCGTTTTGAATAACCCTCAAACAAAGCTAAATGTTCCTGTTTTCGTTTAATTTAGACTTTTTTTTTTCAAATTGTTTTTATTTGTTTGGCTCATTTGGTTCTCCCATGTTTTGCTAATAATTTCGCAAAAATCGACACATAAATAATGGCGTCAATGCAAATCGATTTGTTTTGTGCATTGATTTGAAAATACAAATATTATTTTTATTTGAACACAAAAATAGCCAAATACTGTCAATCCGTGATTTGTTGAGAGGAGTTTCCATTATCGAATACGTATTCGGTAAGCAAAAAAAAAAGTTCTTTTTTGATTTCTGCACCGCAATTTCAGTATGAGAGAAATAAAAACTACTTATCGTTTAAATCGACAGTTTTCACATTTTATTGAAGTTTATTTAGTTTTCTTTGTGTATCGTGTGAGAGCGCGATAACTGCATGAGAAAGTAGTTTGTACATTTCATGTGTACTCGCATTCGAGCCTGTGAGCCGAGAGAGCCGTTTGCGATGCGAACAAAACTAGATAGAAACAACGAAGGCAATGACGACGACAACAACAACGATGAGGTAGTATAAGTGTGTGTGTGTGTGTGTGTGTGAGTGAGTGTGCAATATTGCTTCTACTGACACCAAACCATTTTCTATATCTAGTTGGCACTGCTTGTATCATCATCTCTCACTTTATACGCATGTACTCTCGTGTTCATTTGAATAGAAAACATTGTTGCCTGCGTCTCTTTCGTCTGGCTCTCTCTCTCTCTCTCACTCGCTCTGTGTCGCTCTCAGCGTTTCCCTCGATACTCATAAGTTCATGACATTACTTTTCCGTAAACTCTGATCGACCGGACAAATCGATATAGAGCCCAAAAAAGGCAGCAACAACGAAATGCGTATGTATGAAACAGCTAAAATGTTTCGAATGTACCTCGCAACACATTCGAAATTTAAACTCAGGTGAATTTTTCGTTTTGCAGAGGTAGTAGCATTGTTTTTCGCTTCTTTCAGGCGAATTTCTACGAATATTGCACAAAATCACGCATCAATTGCTTTTTGACTATCTGCTCGCTATCGTTTATACTTTAGGAAATTAAACTTTCAATTTGGTTGCCGCGCGAGTATTCCGCTCCGTTGATTTGTTGTTGCTGCTTTTGATTCGGCCACATTTTTGCTAATTGAATCATTCATTTCTTATCAATTCATTCCAAATTTATTGAGCACACTCCAAAATGACAAACATGCTCCAGTGCTCAGAAAAGAAGTATTATCTTAGAATACGACGAAAGAAATATGTGGTCAATTTCTAATAAATAGAACTAGGATTCAGAAGAAATTCAATATTGTTTGCCGATAATGAAACTTCTTTTTTTCTCTCTTCTTCTTTCTTTTAAATCATCATTTTATACACGTGTTTTTCGTTCTTTCTATTGAAATTTTTTTTTCGGCTCGTCCATCAGTTTTATTTTCGGAAAAGAATGTATCGAATATTGATTTTTTCCATCAATTCCAGTTGAAATCTAAGTAGCCGATTCGAAACCAAACAATGACGGCAAAATCAATTATGGTAGCATAACCAAATCTCAGTGCCAGTTGTCATGAGGTCTCAAGTGAATTTGAAATACACACATTTGTTTGCCATTACAACCGAAGAATATGTTTGTGTCGTCGTGTTCGGGAAGTGAAAATATTAAACTTAAAATTCGAAATTAAAGATAGAAAAAAAAAAGATTGTGATTTGGGTATATATATTGCCTAAAAAAGGGGAAATTTTCGTATGTATGTAACACGTATTGTATACACAAAACACACATGCACATACACAACAAAAACAACAAACACACGTACGCAGTAGATATGACATTTTTGTAACAAAAATGCACTCACTTCAGAATTTCGAAGTGCGTATATTACTATATTGCTTTTTGCTGTTTATGCGGTATGGTTCGAGTGAATGTATTGCTGATGCTGCTGTTATTATTTTACGCACACACCGTGCAACATGAATGAAATGAGCGAAATTTATTTACACCTAATTGTGAATACATCTGTTTTACACACACACACACACACCAAATGATCATTTCGTTGAGTTTTCACATTACAAGAGCTCTTTCTTTGTATATATATGTCCGACTACAGAATGGCTACAATAAACGCACTTTTGAGCTTATCTAAATTAAATCATCCGATTTGATTCATTATTCATATCGTTGAATCCTTCACGAAAAATTTCCACTTTGTGTAGTGGAAAAAAATAAAACTTAAAAATGACGATCAATCAATTGATATAGAACGAGAGCCTCGTTCAGTCATTACCTAATTCATAATGGAGACATGGTGTATTCAGTAGCCGAAACAATGTATACAAACAAACACACCGAATATTTGCGATGCATGCATTTCATTTGTGAGTGCTACAGATAGTCGCACGTATTACACAATGCGAATAAACGGACGAAGAATTCTTTTTCATTTTAGCTCTTCTTTATGATTCGCTAAACCACAAATTCACCGAGTTTAGTATATTTTTTGTTTTCGAAACGCTATACTATCGTGGTCAACCAGTTTGGACGATTGCTCAGTCAATCTTACGAACTGGTTAATAATGCCACGAACTCCGTGCAGTTTGTGTGCTGGCTGGGCACTTCGGTGCTAAATATCTACCGCTTGTTCATGCCGTGTCATGACAAGTTTATGGTAGGTAACACGCGAAATTTTTCATGTGTTATCTTCTAACTTGAGTCTCCGATATTAATCTGTCGGTAATAGTGCTCAGATTTTTAAAGCATTTTTATTAGAGCTCGGGTTGTTCGTTGTCTCTTTTATTCATAATGCTCTGGCTTGTTCGCCAATTATCCATGTGTCAACGTCAGTGCGAACGCAATAGAGAATCTCTACTGGTGATGAAGAGAGAGAGAGAGAGAGAGAGAGAGAGAGAGAAATAACGAAACGCAGGTAGGTACACAGAGAGATAATAGAAGCGGGAACGAAATTGCGAAAGCGAGAGCAAAAACCAAGAGACAATGATAGAGATAGAGCTAGAATAAGAGCAAAAGCTAGAGCAATATAGGAGTGATAATAGAAAAAAACATGAAGAGTGGGAACAAGATAGAAAGAGCCATAACTCATGACAGAATGGTTTGCATTGAAACAACGAGCTCATTGGGATTGATGCAATCTACATCAAAATTAAATCAAATATTTGGCTAGAAGTTTCTATTTGTATATGAGTATGTATGTTTCCCATTCGTTGCGCGTATCTTATGTGTCGTTGCCGTATGCGCGCTCTCTTCCGTCATGCACAAAGTTTGCGTATACAATTATTTAGACTTCATAGTCTTTTTTTTTCTATACAATGTAACGCAAAATCATGCAATTTATTTCCATATTATATTCAGCAATTCGGTTGATTTAGGGTCAGTGAATATTCATTGAAAATAAAGTGGATTCGTTTGAGGCACAAGCATCTGTTTTTGTGTGTCTCTTGTTCAACGAATATGAATATAATTTCTTACAACAAAAAATAAACAAACAAATGGAGAAAAAAAAAATGTTGATGAAAATGAACAAAAACACTCACCTTAACTTCCATGCTGTCAAACGTATAATGCCAATGCACCAATTGAATTACTGTTCATTGCATTTGTGTGGCGTATATGGATGTGTTCCGTCTTCGTTCTTCGCGTTTTTTCTTTTTTCTATGACTCGAGCGCGCGCCTTGTGTATTTCTTTTCAACTTTTTTGCGCAGCTCAATTTAACTATATTCTACTTTTTTTTATATATATATATATTATATTATTCTTTTCTTCTTTTTTCTCTTCTCTCGGGTGTCGAGAGGTGTACGTTGCGAAATCTGTGTATCACTATTGTCGCGTGGAATCACTAAAATATCCCCTTATTTATTTTTCAAAACTTTTTTTTTGCGTGTGTTTGTCGTCGACGAAATGCACTTCGTTATCAGTAGAAAAAAAAATGTGAAAAAAATAGTAATTTACTTTAGAATTTTCAAACACTTTTCTATTTTATTTCATAACACGCTATCAAGAATATTCTATGTGTTTTATGAAACCCTATATCGGTTGTTGCTGTATCAGTTACCATCCAAAATGAAATTAATCTGAAAAAAGAAAGCAAAAAAAAAAACATATCAAGATAGGCCGGTTTGGGAGAAGAAATCAAATCTCTCAATCTGTGAGTGAAGCGAGAGAAGAAAAAATCAATGTCAAAAAAAGCAATCGACAAATTGCTTCCTATTGAGAGTCGTCATTGACAAGAATGAGAATGAACGAAACAAAGCAAAGAACGGAAAAAAAATCGACTTTTCTGATTCCCTTTGATAGTCAACAAAAAGATGAAAAAGAAGAAAAAAATAAAAAAATAATTTGTTTTCACCCAACTTAGAACGTACACATGTACTATAGATTGGGTTAAATAGTATTTATTTGCGTGTATACATAAATATCTATATAGAAACTAAGTAACTATTTTTCAATTTAATATATGTAACTGCATTCGTAACGAAGCAGTGACAACCGAAACATGCAAAATTCTCCTTATAGTTTCCGTTTGATTTTCTACATGCACTCATACACGCAGCACTGAGCTGACGACGTGAATAGGAGTAGGTGAACGAGAGAGAGAAAGAGAGAGAGAGAGAGAGAGAGAGGGGGGGGGGGGAGAGAGCGAGATGAAATGTGTATCTGCTTTACGAAAATGTTTAAGTATCTGCATTTCCATCGATGTAGTATATAGTCGGCACAGCGGCCGCCGTACATTTTCACTCACTCAACCTTACACTGACTGATGCTTAAATATAGGCTTATACTCATATAGTGTCGCACGAAACGGCAAAAGCAAAATCAAAGTGATACACGAATATATGCGGTGTACGAATAGTACACCATTCATTGTGTATGTATCCATCGAAAATACATGGTACGAACGCGATCTCCGGCTCTCTTTCGTTCACTCGTTGCTGTTGTTTTTTTTATTACTTTTTTTTTAAAATCATTTTCGTGTGTTTTGATGTATGGAGCAAGTGGATTGACGAAGCAAAACAAACGCGTATGCATTGAGCGGAATATAAACAAACAGCTGGATCATGAACCGAGAGAAAGGTAAGATAGACACAAGAGAGAGAGAGAGAGAGAGAGAGATAGAGAGAGAGAGAGAGGAAAAGAGCGCACACACGAGAAAATGAGTAAGACAACGAGAATGGGCTAGACTGTGAGAGCGAGCGTGATGCATGAGCTCAGTCATTTCGTACAGCGAGAGTACCAGCGAGAGAGGGAGCAAGAGAGGCAGCGATAGAGAGAATATAGGCACGTACAAAAAAATCAAGATTTTCAGAATTCAAATTGGTTTTGTTGTTGTCGTTGTTTGTTCGTTCGTTCATTCGTTCCAATCGAAACTCGAATGATTTAGCTCACAACCGTTTGTATGCATAGCGAGAGATAAAGTGATGCGCACATGACGTATTAATACGGAATTTTCGACTAAGAATTACATTTTTTGTTGTAAAAACTCTCTTTCTCTCTGTGTGACTATTTGTTTTTTTTTTTCGTTTTTCATTTTCGCACAAAACAGTGATAAGAATAGCATTTTAGACCAATTTATCTTATTCATTTGTTGAAATAACAAATAAAAATGCGCGTACACTGTACGGGATTATAATCGATTGAATATGCTTCTGGTTCAAATCTAAATGCACTTTTATTTTCATGTTCTATTACTTTTTGCTGAATATTAACCAGGAGAGAAAAAAATGCGGTAATTTTACATCTCGAATCAGATGTTTACGTCGAAACGTAAATGTGCTCAAGGTTTTCGGTGGGATAGCAAGAAGTCGTAAAAATTTTTTTTCTGCGACATCCAACGCGCCAACTACAACATAACCGACGCTACAACTAAAATATTAAGCCATTATGAATTCCATTGTTCTTGTCGTTTTTCTGTTTTTGTTGTTATTTTTTCGTCATCGTCATCGTCATCGTCGTCGTCGTAAAGCCATAGAAAACAAACGCCATTTATGCAGGAGGGGGAGACCCTTTTGCGCCAGATGCTCTGCCATTGAACGAAACCAACCACAATAAAAATCGAACGAACGAACGAACGAACTTTGAATGAAATGAATAAATGCGACACTATGAAAATCGCTTCGATTCTATTGATACCGACCAAAAAAATCCTTTATGACGATGGGCGAATTAACGATTCATGTGTGGAATGAATACATATACGAATTGCAGTGCGCTTTGTGTAGCGCAACCACACACATCATTTGCACGTTTTCAATTCTTTTAATCGTTCCTTTTTCACCATATAAAACGCATTTAGAGCTGTTTCTTATCTCCCTCCTGCTGTTGCTGCTGCCGATGCTGATATTTCGGCATGAAATTACTTTTGAAATAGGTATGTTCTGAAATAGGCTCGTACACGTACTCATCGATTTACCGAGAGGAAAAATTGACGGTTTCAATTCTGTTCCCATGACAAGCAAAGTGAATTCTTTTCTGCTTGTCATCGCACTCACGTATTTTTCTCTCTCTCTCTCTCTCTCTCTCTTTTCATTTTACATCTTCAAAATGGCCAAATTTCAAAACAAAACACAGAAAAAAAATGTAATAGAATCCACTGATAACAGAAGGTACTTTCGAAAAAAAAAAACATCGAAAACAACATACAAGAATCCTAGATTTCACATTTGATCTACATTCAATCGAACCGTTAAAATTTGTAAGATTTTTTTTATTCGTTTGTTCATTCGTTCGAGCGGAGATCAATCTCATTGAAATAAATAACTTCATCCTCATTTTTTTGTGTTCGTTTCGTTTCGTGTTTTTTTTTGTTGATTCTCGGTACTAAGAAAAGTTTTTTCTGAAAAATCTAAGTCTCTCTGAATGCAAACGAGTGAGTCAAAAATCTGAGCAGCATACAGTTGAGTGAGAGCGATGCAAACAAGACCAAGCCGCTTTTTTTCCTCTCAGTTCAGCTGAATGCTGTAAAAGTTGTACGATTGTGAATACAACTTATTCTAGATATAATACGCGAGACAGAGAGAGAGAGAGAGTGTGTGTGTTTGTCAGCACCTAGCCCCCAAAACAAAGTGAGAGTAAGAAATCGTTTTTCTTTCTTCGGTACGAAATTGATGTCGAGTTTTGTTTTCATATTTTGTTTCTTAACCGATTTTGTTTTTTTTCTTCGTTATTGTTGTGTTCTGTTTTGGTTTCGTTCTCGTTATCTGTTTCACAGTCATCGATGTGTTTCATTTTCAATTTTCAGCAGCGTAAAAAAAACAAAACTGATGACCATCGCAAATGAATAGCATCGGATGAATCAGAGAGAATCGAATTTGTTTGAGTGCATCCGAAAAACGACGATAATCATTCTCTCAGCGACATTTTCGATGTGATTGCGGATTATGTGTCGATCATATTGCATGTGTGTGTGTGTGTGCGTGCGTGTTTATCATCTTCAAGCACTTTCACACTGTGTATTCGCCTAGGAAAATTAGTATTCATTCTTTTTGCGCAAAATAACAACGAAAAAAAAAAACTTTCATATCGTTTTGTGCTATGCCGTTCGCATTTATTTATATGTATATTCGGCATTGCATAAAGAGCTTGCGCTCTATTGTAAGTGAATGTCAGCCAGTTAGTTAGCTAGCTAGCGAAACCTGTGTTTGTGTTTTCATACAGAGCCAGTATTTAATTATTTATCACTGGTTTGTTCGATTCGTTCGTTCATTCGCTGTTACTTTGAATAACATTGTGACCGAACAGATAGATATTCTCTTGCACATGTATGTATTGTCAACACGATCCAACTCACAATCAACCACACAAATTTTCAAATACAACACACCGTATAATCATATTGGATGTGTGCTGCTTCGATCGAGTAATTGAACAAGCAGCGTGCATATCATTTTTATTTTCATCGTCGTCGTTGTCGTTGTCGTTGCTGTTGTTGCTGTTGTTGTTGTTGTCTTTTTTTTGTATTACTTTCGTTGTTTTCGGTTTTAGTTAATTCGATGCGTTCACAACAGAATAAAGAACTATGCAAGCAATTGTTCCGATGTCTTTTCCTGTTTCGATATTTCTATCTCGTTCATGCATTTTACGCCATTTGTCTCTTCTTTTGTTGTTTTGTGTATGCGTTCTTTTACAGAATTTTTACTACAATTATTATTATGTAGCGATTTGAGTGTAGTTTATTTGATGAGAGGGACAAACTTTTCTAGACCAACGAAAAATAAATAAACAAAATTATGACAAGAAAAAAACATTCAAATTCTGAATTCAGTCAAACTGAATCTTCAAGACGAAAACATTCCAAGTGGATAATATTTAGTATCACACTCTTTTGAATACTTGTTAACGACTATATTACTTTTCCAAAACAAAAAAATGTGAACCACAATCGCACCATTATTCTCTCTCACTCTCTTGCGATCTCTTTTTCCCGCATAAAATAAATCACACACAAACGCGTTACCGTTAGGGATTCTTTCATCGCTTTGCACGTATTTCAAATTGCTTGCTATTGGCAAAGTCTCAACGAAATTTGCGATCCTACGGTTTATCATTCGAAAATGAGAGATTTTTTCTCTACTTGTTGGCAAAATTGCTTGTTTTGTTTCTTTATGCAGAACGAAAGAAAAAAAAAAATATAAAAACAAATTAAGTTTTCAGTTGAAGCTATTATGGAGCCTAATCTTCATTGCATGTATTAATGCACGTACACATATGGATATGGAAGATATGCAAGTTACCTAAAAGCACAGTATGAACAATGTTTACTGAACACATACACGCACACACACACAGGGAGAGTATAGAGAGAGAAATTGAACGAGCGATGAAAAGAAGAAGAAGAAGAAGTAGAAAAAAAATCAACAGCAACAACAACAACGTAACATACAAAATAACGTAAAAACAAATACGAACCAACACCAATGGCAACGGCAACAAAAGACCACAAAACTCATAAATAAAGGCAATAAATGCGATGGGTCTGCTTATATTCCCGATATGGTAAAATAAAGTGAAAAAAAAAACAGAAATGACTAAATAGTGTTGTACAACAGGGGCCCAAAGACGAGACATGGACAAAAATAGATCACGATAACTAATAAATGAATGGGATAATAAGAGATCTCTCTCTGTATGTTTTCAATACGTACTTTGACACTGAATCAATTACGCTCTCAATGTGTGCGATTAGAATATTTCCGCTGCGTTTGTTTGTTTGTTTTTTTTTTTTTGTTTCGGCTGATTCAAATTGTTGCTTATACTTCTTTCTGGTTAATATCTTTGACCTGAGATATATTTGAATACGTTTGATTTGTGGCTCGTTTGTTGTATCGGGTTTTGATTTAATTCCACTCACAACTCCAATTTGATATACAAAAACATAGCACTATCGAAATCCTTCACGAAATGAGAAATGAAGCAAAACACACACACACTCATAACACCAAAAACAAAATATTGGCAACGTTCTTGTTTTTTTTTTTTTGCACTGATAGTCTGTTTCACTCACTCCACTCAATCCGTACGAACCATGTCCAGTGCTTGTAGCACATTTAACGTAATTATGTACTCAGATTAGTGTTTTCTTCTTCTCTCTTTTTTTAATTTTTACAATATATTTTTTTTCTTGTATGTTTACGTGCATAAGCATCCACTTTGACCATTCACTTTCTGTTTTGAATTTTTATTTTTATTTTTATTTTGATTCTATTAGAAATTTGTTTCCTTTTTTGTGTCAAACTGTTAACTATGTGCTTCATTAGGTAATTAATAATGTAGAAAAACAAAAACGATAAAAAAAATTCATTTCACTTCATGGCAGTGCTGCCGCCGCTGCCGCTGCTGATGGCTTTTGTGCTTGCTACTACGGTTTTTTTTTATGTATATGTGTGAGAATGTGTGTATTTATATTGCACACGGTCGACAAAAGTTCAATATTTCTTAATTCTCTGACGGTATATATATATATATTCTCTTTTACTCTCTGTCTCCCTCTTGGTTTCTCTCCGTATTTTGAAAATTCGTCTTATACATTCCGTCTACTATGACGGATCTACATGTACTGAGTCGCAAACGTTACCAACATGCCTCTAAAAATGTTTACTCCAAACCAACCGAAGCAATGTATATTTTCGCTTCAACGGAGCAGCAGCTTCTCTCTGCTGCTGCTGCTGTTGCTGCTATTCGTACGGCAATATAGCCGCTTTACAATACATCGCGCGCTCTGTGTGTACTCTTTGCGATTAGGGTGACCATTCGCCCATATTATCTTGATATGACATAAGCACAGAACGCCAGCCATCGATAAACAAACATTGTACTAAGTCAATTACGGAATTGTACTTAGTCATTTATCGGCTCTGGATCTTCAATCTTTGGTTTCTTAACTCATACTTATGAACTTTGAAATTTGGTGAGTTGTATTTGTTCGAATTTCTGTTCAAAAAAAATATGTGATATTCATCTCTTCAAACTATCACATACCAAATTCTTTTCAAAGTAATATTTTTCATTTGGATTGTTAATGAAAAAGAAATGGTTCAAAATTTGGACGAAAATTTAAAGAAAGTAAAAAAAAAATGCAAGTTCGATACACTCTACTCTCGGTCGTATACATAACCACCGCCACCGAAAGTATATCGCATCGCATAGTATATTCTATGTGTATTGTATATATATATACATATATACATTGCTATATATTCGTCATACACACGATGTGAGTAGCAGCGGGTTAGAGAGCGTTAGAGTGAATGCATACAGATAGACCGTGCCGAATCTTCTAATATCCATGAACCGAACTGAAATCGACAACAGAATAAACGCAATATTTTCGAAGGTTTGTCACTTTGTTTTTTGTTGTTGTTGTTGTTTTTTTCAGCGCAAAAATGTTGCACAAAACAATATATCGGCCAAAAATCGGCTTTTCGGTGAAAGTAAATTTTTTTCTCATTTGAAATTGAATGTTCTTTTCATACGTTTACAAAATATGTGCTTGTGCGTATCTGTTCTTTTTATTTTGTCTTTATTTTTCTTTCGCTTGGTCCATTAGAACATAATTGAAGCGATATTTCGTGGCCGTATTGAACGGGACGAATGAACGAGCGAGCGAGCAAGCAAAACATATTAAACTGCACATCTGTAGAAAAGCGTAGCGCATTGTATGCGGAATCTTCTATGTGTCTACTACATGATGTACAGGCTCTGTGTCGGTTTGACAAATAGCATCGCCAATTATTTTCTTTTCGATCATCCACTACCTTTTCACAATTCTCTTGCCCTCGTACTGATTCAAGAGCATTCTTCAAATTTGTCAATTATAACATTATCATTTAATGCAAAATTCAATTGGATTTCAAACGAAATAAAAACCGAGCAAAATAAGCCCATAAATCCCTTCATAAAATCATAGTTTCATCAAATTGTAGTGAAACTAATTTAAATATTAATTGAATGTGTTTCAACACGTTTATCGGTTATCGAAAGAGTTGAGTGTTATTACAGTGTGCGCGCATGTCATGCAACCAAGCAATAATAAATTCTTTCTTTCTCTATTTATTTTATGTCGTTAGCTCCAACAACAACCGTGGAGAAGAAGAAAAAATGGGCCAAAGTTTTTAATTTATATTTGCGAAGAAGATATGCGCGCGACAATAAATCGGCATAGGCCTTCTTGTAACATTACGTCTGATAAAGTAATAGCACTATGGTGGAAAATCTGGTGAAATAATTAGACTCCTAACAACTTGTCATTGACAAGGTAGAGAGGGGATTTTTTGCGCAAAGTTGTTGTGTTGTACGTGCTGCTGCTTTAGCCGTTGTTGTTTTTGCTTTATTTTTGTCAACGTTTTGCTTGGCATTGTTACTGCAAAATGTTTCGCGCAAACCGAGCGCGCGATTTGCATGAAGAGAATCTGCAGCCACAAGCCAGAGATATGTCGAAATCGAACTTGTGCACAGAGAGCAAGATAGAGAGACAGGAGGACAGAAAAAGAACGTTGAGAGATGTATATCCTGCCTGATACATCTGTGATATCGATAAAAAGTAGATTGCATGCACATGCAGAGATACATTGAATGGGCACAATGTAAAAAAAAAAAAAGGGACAGAGGCAAAAATATAGTACACACATCAAGAGAAGGAGAAGAAGAAAAAGAAATAAAGAAGCAGCAGCATGAAAAAAACAAACCGAACCAAGCGCGTACGACGAACACCGTATTCAATCTCTTATATTGTATGAACATCGAATCACTCTCGAAAGTTCAAACACATTCTTATTTTGTCGCTCCTCCATATAAATAGTATAATACGTGTGTCGTCACTTCGCCCATTCGTTTCCCTCTTTTTACGCTGAGCACTGTTCGCGCTGTAGAATGTACAATGCCGATCTGATGTGTATTATGGCATACGTGATACGTGCTGCTGCCGCCACCACCGCTGTTTTGTTTTGTTGAATGCTTCAGAATTAAAACAGCATATTATCTACTAATATTTCGAAACACAACATAAAACATTTGATGAATATGGAATACTGAACTGCGCAAATGATCTCTATTTGAATTTAATCAAGGTACACTGAAAGCGATTCGTTGTCAAGTGCGATGCAAAATCACAATACAAATTCGTAAAAATATTTTCGTAGAATGTATGAATGCATCGTAAAATTCACAAATGTATCGTAAAACTGCGGCACACTTAAACAACGATAATTGCGTATGGATGGTATTTGTTTTTTAGTGCAATTTTGTCTCAATCAACGCGAATCAACATTCGTTTACTCAAAGCATACGAAGACACTACGTTGATTTTATTCTATAGCATTCAAATATAGCGAACGTATAAGAAGAAACTTCGGTTTGCATCGGTTCGGTTCGGTTTATGTATGTTCAATCATATGTTTGTTTGGTTTATTATCTATCGTTCTATTTTTTTTTGTCGATTATTCCATTCGTGTTTGCTGCTTTCATTTCGTTTCGGCAGTGGCTAAGCGGTTTTCATTGCTCTTACTGTTCTATGTTGTTTATGATATTTTGCATTCATTTCATTGCATTTGCACAATTGAGACACTTTCATTCGTCTTTTCGGTATAGGCCTTGCACTTGCTCTCTCTATGTCATTCGGAATAGCTTAGCAACAACATCAACATCATTCATTGTGATGAATTTTTTGACCGCATCTAACACAAGTAGTACCACATCGGTTGTGGTGCTATCCTCCAATTAGATTTGCTTCGAATGTCACCTGATCTACTTTGTAAGTGGCTCTATTGTGTATACAGAAGTCTCGATCATTCTCACCATCATCGCTTGCTCGCTCAACAAAAGAGCAGTCTCCTTCATTTTTGACATCCAAATGAGCAACGAATTGCATTGTAATCAAAATGACTTTCATCTTGTTGGCACTTATTGTGGTGCAATAATGTTTGTATAGCAACCGAAAAATAGAAACAATTACGAGACTTCAACTTATATAATTTTATGCACTTGTTCATCGTGTGCACGCTTCGATTGGCCAGTCAATCTGTCTAATTGGTGTGTTTAGGTTTTTATTTTGGATTATTGATTAAATATTTTTGCTGATTCACTTGTCGCTATTTGAAGCAGAAAAGTTTTGCAGTCACTAGTGTATGTGTGTGTGTGTGTGTGTGTGTGGTTTTCTAAGCAAACATACAGCCCACGTCATGCCTGCACATGGTAATCAATTAAGATATGCCAAAAAAAAAATCGACCAATTGCTTCACTTGTCTTCTGAATGCGTCAATCTTCTTGATAAAGACAAACAGGCACTAATTTCGTATCACTCGTCCTCGCTCACTCTATTTCATTCAACCATAAAAAGCACTAAAACACTATGCGTCCATTCTGTAATGCGCCATCATATAAGTTGTAACTAAATATTTTTTTGGGGCGCAGCCAAAGCAAATCAATAGCAAATAGACGATTTGTCTAACAGAAAATTGCCTTCATTTGCATATTTTATAAATGAACGTGGAATTGTGTAAAACGACTCAACATTCAAATCGTATCGATTATTTTCAAACAACACTGGTACCAATTTATTTTTAGAATGTGAAACAGAGAGTGTGAAGAATATTGAAGGTGCAAGTCCATGCACTGTATCTATTCTTTGGAGAATCATAAGTGGTATCTGCAGCAATCGGCCAAAAATTTTCGTCAATCAAAATATTATTAATATCGTTATTTACATATGTTATTTTTTTTCGAAAAGTTTCATATAAAAACATGTCAGATTTTGTCAGACGCATTTTTCTTGGAGAATTTAACGTGTGACAATATTTGACAAGTTTTTTGTATGAAAATTTAATAGTCAACTTTTCAGAAAAAGTTTCATGCAAAAAATTTGTGAAAATATTAACAATATAAGTAATATCTTAATATCAAAATATCATTAATACCGATATATTATGATATTTGGATGATATTAACATATCGCATTTTTTGCAACTGTAAAATGGATAATTCATGTGGGTAATATAATAAAACAAGGATAATATTGCGAAATCGATGATGATACACTCGAAACTATAAGATATTTGTACTACTTATCTGTTGAACGCTTACCAAGAATTGTAATTGCTGAGATTCTTTTTTGTGGGCCGTCAAGAGCTCGACAGTTCAAAGGTTGATTTCTGTATATGTAATCGTTTAATTCGCACCCAAGGTTTCACCTTGAACAATTCAAATTCATGCACATTTATTGTTAATACTTGCAAAAATTTCAAGTGGTCTTGCTCAAAATAGATCGTCGTTTTTTTTTTATGCGAACGGAAACCATCTGATTTTGCGTACAATCAAGCAATTGCGTGGGGTGCTCGAGACCGATTTGCACACGCCAATTATGATATCTAAATTCCCGGAATAATTTCGACATATTCCGATTCCAAGACAACTCGATTACCACTCGATTCGAGTGAAATGCTTACACATCTTTGTTTTTATTTCTGTTTCATTTTTTTCATCTCCTATTCGCATAGTGCACACAGCGATCGATATGCACGGTGTATCCCGTTGTTTTTGCTTCTAGTGCTGTCGGAACCTATAAAAACCCATGAGCAATGTTGAATAAAACAGAATACGAATAATACTTTTGTTTATGTATATATCCTTTATTTGCATTGAATTTAATATGTCTATAGCAAAAATTCAAGCGTTTTTTTGTTCATGTTTTCCCATCTCTCAATCAAATTAAATAGTTTGTTTTTATTATGTTTCCGTTCAATTAGAAATCGTATGATTTTTTTTTTTTTTCAATCGATTTTCAATCAATCGATGTTCAAAAAATACTAAGAATTTGTTTCATTTTTTTCCTTGGTTTTTGTTTTAGTCCACTTCACACACAGGCAAAAAGATGCAACTCAATTTCTATGTTTCTTTTCTCCATCTTCTTCTTCTTCGGAATATCAATTGTCATTTTGAAATCGGGATAAATCCCGCTCTCTCTCTCTCCCGTTCCGATCGTCGAAACGGAAAGTGTTTTTTTTTCTTTAAATTCAAATAAAATTTAGTTTTGTCATCTTCGTTTAGCTTTTGCGTCACTCGTTTGTTTTTTTTTTCTCTCTTTTTTGGTTGACATTTTGTAGCACTTATTTTGTTAAATAATCATTACATTAGCTATTTTTTTCTTATCGAAAAAAAATCGTTTTTCTTTAAATATATGCATATTTTTAATTTTTATAATTTAATTAATTTTTTTTGATAGTGGTTTTTCATGTTGTGTGTGTCTAACATCATGTATTTACTGCGTTTTTCTTGGAAAACAAAGCAAATGGTCGCATCGTTCTAGTCCATTGTCTTACTGTTTGGTTAGTTTTTTTCTTTAGATCTAGTTCAAAATGTTGAATAACAAAAGTCTCGTCTCGAGAACAAAAAAAAAATTTGACGACGTCATCAGCCCCAGTCTCGGAACTGAATTTAGTAACAATGTCACAATTAGTTTGGTTGATTTTGCATATATTTTTTATTTAGCTTGTTGAATATGTGTTTTTTATGGTAGCAATTTCACCAATACTTTATTTGGTTTTGTCCAATTTGTCAAATTTCTTCATTCGCGGGAAACTCTTTGTTTCAATTTTAAAATTTCAGACCAGAAACATAAGGATAGAATAGATGTTTTCAAGATAAATTCAGAAGAAAAAACTGACTACGTTAAAGTTTTTTTATGTGTCAGTAGTGAGATTTGGATTTGATTCTAGTGAAGTAACATCCATTCATTGACGCCCAAAAAACGTTTTTTTAGTCAATCGGGACAAATTGTTAGCTTTGTTTTAGTGTACTTTCAAAAAGAATTTAATTAAAAACTAAGCCATTTTTCCATCAGCATTTTATTTTTCTTCTGTTTTATTGAGTGACAAACAAAAATCAAATGAAACATCAAAATGAAGAGTGAAAAGAGCAAAAAAAAAATGCATTTGAACAGACGGAATTCAGGTACTTAAAGTGCAATCAAAAAGTTTATCATCAAAATGCCTGGCCTTTTCCACGCCCACCGATGGATGATCGATATTCGTTCCGAAAGGACAACAATTCAAAGTGAATTCATCACTTTGTTAGGTGTTTTATTTTCTTCATCTTTGGATTTAGTGTTTTGTCCTTTGTTTTCCAAGGACTGTACCCTACTTGTTGCTGCAAGACTCAAAATTATGCTCTTCTCTTGAATTTTGATTTGAAAATTAGAAAAAAAAAATTTAAAAAAAGAACCTAAAAAAGGTCGATTTTTTCGAATAATTTTAAATAAATAAATAAATATTTTTGGTTGATAAAAATGCTAATACAGTTGATTTTTAAGAATAAAAATATAACACGCACTCTCTTTTATATATAGTATACAAACATAATAGCAATTTGACTAGACACCATGTCGAAAACTAAAATAAAAAAAAAAAATCTATAAATAAAAGTTTAAAATGATAAATCGAGAAAAAAAATTAGACAGAGTAAAAAAGGAGAGAAAAAATCACGATAACGGGAGAAAAATATGGTTTTGTGCACACTTCAGTTAGTGTTTCGCTTCGATTGCAACTGCCATGAAACACATACGAGTTTCTCGAGCAAGCACGTTTACACATAGGAAAAATAGGGAAAATGGTTAACATATTTGTATGTTTTTAAAGCTAGTGTCATCATGTGTTTTTGGTACTGCAATACTGGCCTACGATACTCTATCTCTTTCTCTCTTTCACACACACACACACACACACACACACATTTCGTACATGATCTATGCTAAAAACTGTCACTTTTTGTATTTTTGTGTAATGGTTTGGTTTTGTGTATTGTTTCTTTTTGTGTTTGATGAAAACGACCATATATACAGAGATATGTCGTGGTATTTCTGCTCCTTAAATGTCTTGTTTTGTTTGTTAAGAGGGTGTGCGATTTAAATATGTACAGTGGGATATTGAAAATGGATGTTCATTGTCCATCCAAAGTGGAGTAGAATTTCTTCGATTGTTTTTCTCTTTCTGCCAATTATTTCACAACAACAACAAAAAAAATTGTAATGTAGAATTAATATTGGTAAGAAGATAGATTTGATTCATGTAAAATATAGATTAGGAAGAAGGAAACTTCTGTTCTTTGCTTGATTAAATTTTAAGTTTTCTTCTAGAGGGTAACCATATAATTGCGCCCTATGCTTTAGCGATCATTGTGACTTTTGACAATTTCTACAAATGAAGAACAATCACATCTTGCTTTGTGTCACCGTTTCGGTCTGTTTCAAACACATCTATATGTCGGCATTGTTGCTCCATAATCAAAGCACATTACGATATTACTTTTTGTTTACTTCAATTGCTTACATTTACAAAGCGAAGGACTTCTTTTTTATGTTATTCTGCTGTAATATAACATGGAAATAGAGAACATGGTGACAATAGTGCAGATGAGCCCAACAGCCCACATATTTTCTATTTTCTGTTTGTTTTTCTCGTTTTTTTTTTTTTTGTTAAATATATATCTATATCTTGTTATTTATGTACGCGCACGGTCAGTATTTTGGAACCATAGTTTCTTGAAATGTTGACTAACTAGTCTAGGAGAAAGATTTGAACTAAATGAACTTCATCTACATTTAGAAAACAAAAGAGATACATAAAGAATATTCGTAACGCAGTATTTGCCCGCGGTCTCCTTTTTTTTAGGTTGTTGTTTTTTTCTGGTTTTGATGCAGATTGTTTGGTTCTGTTGGTTTCAATGCAATTTCTGCATATGGTAATAGTGTTTTGTTGTATCAATCTATAAATTACTGCTGTTTATGTCATATAGTTTTGGTTTGTCGGTGTGAAAATTAATTGAATATTTGCAAAAAGTGAGATGATCGATTTTAAATGGTTTTTCCTCTTCTTTCTAAATTCGTTTTGAAGTAAATATATAGTAGTTTTTTTTTTGGTTCCACTGTGTATGTGTATTTTATAAACTCTCTATGGTCACCACTCACATCCTTATTTAGTCTCTATGCTTGTGAAAAGTAAGTTTGTTTGGTTGGTTTGCCTTTTTGATGAAATAAATCGAAGAGTCGCTAGAGATTGTTTTTAAATTAAAGGTGGCAGATTAATTATTGGCATTCGTTTGCGTGTTTCATTTTGTTTTTAGCTATGTGTAACGGTAATTTTTCTGCTTTTTGTGTGTCTCTGTGTGTTCACTTTTCGAGTGCCTCAAGCTTCACTCCTTTGTTTTTTTTTTATTTATACTAGTAACCTATGTTTAGCGTTTAACGCCATGAAAACCCTTATTTGAATATTGTTTTGTTCATTTCAATTTTTTTGTTCATGATTTTTTCTCTTGTGTGTGAGTGAGTGTTTTTTTTCCCTTCTTATTTGTTCATTCAGCTTTTTCTTATTGTTATCGATCCTTTTTCCATATGTTTAACTTATTTTCTTCTGTTTCTTTTGGTATCGTTTGTATTAGGCGAAACCAGTTTTCCTATGATTTTTGCCAAAAAAATCAAGATTCCAAGATTAAATTTGTTTAAAAAATTTCTTTTTCCGTCTATCACAAATGGTTTATTCTCGATGCAATTTTTTGACCATCACCCAAAATGTTTTTTTTTCTTCCTCGTTTTGTTGTTGGTTTTTATTCTAGATTTAAACGATACCGTCGTATTCTTGCCGTATTTTCTGGTCGCGGTTCGCCGGGCGGTGGCAAAATATCCTGATTGATTTCACTTGGCTTTGAAATTACATCGTCATCATTATCATTGCCTTCGATTGCGTCAACGCCAACCTCAAATGCATTATTATTGCCAGCATCACTGACATAATCAATCGATTCATCGCCGTTTTCAATTTGCTGCTTTGAATCCGAACCTCTTCCGTCGGTACTGTTGTCCGATGAATTATCATCAAAGTGGCCGGATCCAAGTAAATGTGATGGAACACCTCTGCTTCTATGGATGATGAAAAAAATTTCTTTTGAATATTTTAACTTTCTGAAGAAAAAAAAAATTCCACTTACCGCATAATGCCGCGTGTTTTTGATCGGTAAAAGCGAAGATTTAGCTGTGATGGATCGGTTACATATTTATCTGTGTTCTGACGGCGACGTCTCAAACCTGAAATAATTTCATCATCAGTGAAACTAAATCAAAACGACAAGAACCAAGGTGCAAAGTGCGTAAAACGGAATGTCAGTAATCAAAACGGCTTCATGATTTACCTGGTGTCAAATCATTCATATCCGGGGTTATTGGAAGGTCATTGCCTGCCCATGAAGCGCATTTCGTGGATCGTGCAGTGGGATTTAATACGGGAATCTTACTATGGCTGCTATTATTTAGTGTGCTATTGGTGGTGTCTTTCTTGTCATTGATTTGATTAACTGGAGCTCCATCCGATTGATTAGTTAACGGTTTGGCTGTTGTCGTTACCATTGTGTTGGTTGTTGGTTCTGTTGATTGTGGGACAAAAATGGGATCCAGGTTATTTATTAGTATTGAAAATTGTGCACTTATCGAGAATTGAGCTTTTAACGAATTTCTTTTTTGATTGAAAAGAAAAAAACACATGTGAACAGATTAACGTTCGAAAAAGTGACTCGATTTGTGATCGGCATTTTTTTCCCTGTATTTTGTTTGTGCAAAGTAGTCGCTTGAGCATTAGAAGCTTTGAAAGTTAAGGCATTGTTTGTTGAAGCAAAACTAATAACACAAGTGTGCATTAAATGTGCATGGCAACCCGCAAAAATAAGAAAAACGGACCTACACATGAGTTGATACGGTGCAACCGCCGAAACGCACAATAGCGAGAGAAAAACAAACTTTCGACACTTTGAATTGAAATTAAGCGATGAAAATTAAAACGTTCATAGGTAATTTAATGTAATTAGCTCAACGGATACGAAATGAAACAGATCAGATGGCGACGAACAGAAAATTGTACTGCAAATGATTTGATTCGCTAACCTATCACATTTGAAAGTTTAGCCAGCGTATTGCCGGCCGTGACGAAGCTATCGGCCGCATTGTCATCGTTGGTGGATGAAATGTCGGTTAAAGCGATGGTGGTTGCAATTAAACCCGTACCGTTGCCGGCTAATCGATTTTCACCATCGGCGCTGTTTGGATTGCTGTTATCCAGATTCAATCGTGCCACGTCGGACGATTTTTGTGCATCATCTTGCAGTCGTGCCGTGGTTGCGGCCGAAAAGAATGCTGTCTCATCGGTTGTCAGCTCACAATTGGCATCAACGGTCTCTGTGTTACGTTCAGTAGCGTGCGTCGTATAAATTTTATTGACTAATTTTCGCAGAACCTTTGCTTCGTCAGCATTTTGCCCGTTGATTTCGGCATCAAAATAAATCGACTCCTCACGATTCGGACTATTTTTATTCGGCTCTTGATTCTGTTGAATGACCCGGATTTCCAAACGGCCACTAATCGCACACTCTTCTTCATCGTCACCACCTCCGCTGCCGCCGGCACCATCGTCCTTGGGCTTCAGTTGTGAATGGACATTCACCTCTGGTTGCACACTCATTTTGGTCGATATTGCCGTTTTTGCCGATGGTGTCCCATTCCCATTTGCTATCCGCTGTGAATCCGACTCTTTAAATAGGATATTTGGTAGACTATTCCGATTCAATTTTGCATCGGCTAATTTCATTGCCAACGAATTGATATCGGTATCGGTTATTTTACTCGAACCTTGCGGTACCGGCTCACGTATACCAACATTTCGAATTATATCCATGCGGAAGATCTGAAATGATCCGAACAAATAGTCATGATAGGTGATTATTGAGCGGAGGCAAAAGATTTCATTAAGAAAAAGAAAATAGTAGCATTTCTTACGGTATCATCAAATGCAGCCTGCTGCACTAATGGTGGCTCCAAGTCATGCCGTATGGCATTGCCCAAAGATGGCGTCGACCAACACAATGGCAGAATATCTTGCAAATTTGAGTAGTTCTCTATACCAGCTATATTCAAATGAGATCTGAAAGAACAATTTTTTTTTTTCATTAGTCAATCGTTCATATTCGAACAGAAATATTTCGAATACCTTTTCCGTTTGAAGTCACGTCGTTTGGTGGTCTTACTATTTTGCACTTGCTGTGCCTGCGAAGTAATATGGCTTTTATCACGATGATCAGGACTCTGCAAAAAGAATTCAAAATATTAATCAATTTCGATTTTCCGTATAGGAATTCTCTCCCATTGTGCTAAGTCCAATATTTACCTGAGGTTCTTGTTTCCATTCGTTGTCTGTTGTTTCTTCGGAGTCATCAAATTGACTCTTCCATTGTGATGCTAACGTAAGGGCACCACCACCTCTGGTAACCTAAGACGAGAATAATGCACAAAATTACATAAAAATGTGAGAAAAACCAATTCCAAAACTATTCCAAAACTATTCGCCCAATGAAATATTCAAAATTAACAAATCGAAATACGAATTGATTCGACACATTGGAATACCCAAAATTTGAATGGAAATTTATAGTGAAATCTATCTTTTAACTGAAACTTTTGATCAAATCACTAACTTGTTGCAATGCTGAAACGTTTTCATCATCAATCACAGCAAATTGTGTGACCGAGTGATCGCGGTTGCCGCCGCTCAGGCGTTGACTAGATCCGCATCCGGACGATGTTCGCAAATTTGATCTTCTATTAGCACCAGATGATCCACCCGTTGCACTGCCAGCGCTACCAATATTTCGCCGACTGCAATGACCGTCAGCTGAAAATATTGAAATGTGCGTTTTTCAATACACCCCATTTCGTAAGCTTTCATTAAATTGACATAGTTGAAATGTCCGATGCATACCTGAGAATAAAAATGGTAAGGCTTCAGCATCGCGTGGCGATGTAGTTTCGGAACCCGTTGCACTTGCAGCAGCTATTGCTAGAATATTGAGATTATTTAATCCGTTTGATCGGCTAAAATGCGTAGCAAACAAATTACCTGTTGTTATCGTTGGCGGTGCGGTCAGAACACGAAGTCTACCATACGTTGTTTTCTCCTGTGTATGTTTAAAAATAAACGAAAAAAAAACGAGATGAAATTAGCATAAAAATAGATGTGGATGGAAACGAAGAGTGCAAATTTATTGATCTCGCTTGATGCCAGGAAATGGAATGAATCAAACTAAAAATATAGATAGACACACAAAAAAAAAATATCGGAAAAAAATGAGAAATGTCTTACATCAATTTGGGAGATGGATCGACGCTTTACTGGGCTATTACATTGATTTTGATTTTGATTAGATTCATTATTTACCGGATTTTTGCCATCCGCTTTGGGTGCATTTGCCGAAAAGCTGCTGCTATTGTTCTGTTGTTGTTGCTGTTGCTTTGGATTTGGGCCGCTTTGATTGGTTCTGTGCATTGAATCAGTGCCAGACCGATACGTTGGAATCATAGATTCACTGGCAATTTTTTGCACCTGCTGCTGACAGGGACGATTTTCACGCTGTTGCTGCTTGTGCACCGAGAAAAAGAAAATGGAACATTAAAAAAAAAAAAAATGGTTAAACGACACATATTCTTCGGTATAATATGTTGTTCAAGGCGGCTTACTGTTTGGTTTTGTTGTGAATTATTCAGTGAGTTTTGTGATTGCTGCGGATTTGCTGAGCCAATCGGTGATTGTGATGTTGCACCAATGGCCGCCGTATTTTGATCGTTTTCCGTGGCTGCTTGTTGTGGATTTTGCTTCGGCTTGAGCGCTGCTTGCTGTTGCGATGGAGTATCTTCTGTAGAAAACAATAAATAAATTGAATGGCATAAGTTTGGGTTAAAAAAACAAAACAAAAAACCTATTTCATTTGAAATAACGCATGACAACGTTTTACCATTTAAAGGGATCAAATTTCCGGCTCGTGCTGTTGTTATCTGATTATTTGGCGCAGTGACCGTTGCATTGCAATTTTTGTCTACCTGCATCTGCAATGGAACGCAAAAAAAAAAAGAGATAAAGAAAAAAATCGTTTTGAGAATTTTGAGTAGCAACTGCACTTACATATTCTATGCCGCTGGCATTTGTAGCGCCTATTGTAGTTGCATTGCCAGTAGCAATGACACCAATTACACCCGTACTATTCATACATGCTCCGCCATGTATTTGATCAGTTTTCACTTGAATATGGCTTTGTATATTGCTTGGCATATTATTTTGGCTACTTATATTGCTGACTGAATGTACGCCACCCTCCAGCTTCTCCCAATCGTACGGATCGGTTTCTGTTGATTAAATCGAATTCGATTGATTCGTTCAAAAATCATTGGCACAATCTCAAAAATGAGTGGAAATGATATGAAGAAAATGTTTTTTTTTTTCTTTCAGCATTTACCTTTGACACCGCGTCTTTTCATACATCGTTCGAACAGAGTTGAAAGCATCTACAAATAAAATTGGGTTAAACATACGCGCATACATGCATGCATGCATGCATATAATATCATTTACAACGGTTTACAATTATCATGACATGGAATGGCACGGCATGACACTTTGTACTCACCCCATAGTCTGGCTTATCTGCATAGCTGAGCGATTGTATATGCTCCAGAAATTTTGTTAAATCAGATGGTAAATGCTTTAGCAATAGCTTGTGGTCGTATTTCTCTTTCATCAAACCAACCTACAAATGAAACAGACAATGATTACATGTCATTTTATCTGAAAGCATATGTTACGTTTGAGTCAATTTTGATACAATTTTCGATAAGATTCTATTCGTATCATATTTGTACGTTGTTGATTTTGAATGTGTGATTTGATGTTACTCCCTAGTGGTCAGATGAATTCTCTAATCATTTTTCCAATTTTATAAAATTGATTTTTTTCTCATCGATTAAAATCAAACTACTCATGTACTTATGGTGATGTGTCAAACTACCAATTGAGGTTGCACAAATTGTGAAATTCGTTTTCAGTGAGTATGCATGATTTTGAATTTATATTAATATCGACCCCGTATGAAACGACGAGATCAAATCGATTTTCGAATATTTCCCCGTTTGGAGAAACACTATGCCACAACAACTACGAAAATTTAATCAATTTCCCCCATGCAGATGCTGTGTTTATGCTGTACCTGTTCTTTGTCTTTTATTTTACGCCATGGCAGTTGACCATTAACAAATTCAACTAGCATATAAAATAATGACCAGAGATCATCGTGACGGCCCATCTCTCGATTGCGATGTGCATTGATTGAAGCATATCGTACGGTGCCTCGGAAACCAGCTGCCGCACGGGGACAACGCACTTCACCCGTTCCAGTTGTATATTGACGTGCCAAGCCAAAATCTAACATATATACAAGTCTACAGTTGTATGGAAGGCGACCAATCGAAAAGTTACTCTGAAAACAAGTTCAATAAACCAATGGGTTTGTTTTGAAAATATGCCAATAAAAAGCGTCAGCAACGGCAGCTGCCATATAAATACATACTGGTTTGATGTCTCTGTGCAAAAATCCCACCGAATGTATAGATTCGATTGCTTTCAAAATTTGTAAACCTAAACGTAATGTCGTGCTCAGTGAAAACGCTCCTCGTGGCTGCGCCCGTCGCAGTTCGGCCAAATTCTTTCCTTGCAGTTGCATTACCACATAGTTAAAACGATCGTTTCGTCCACAGCCTATGAATCGGCATACATGCTGTTTTCCTGTTGATTGGAAAATCGATTAGTTTATAGTTCAAAATCATTTTTGGCAATATCCCAAAAATCAGAGACAATTCTCGGAGCAACGAAGAACAAATGAAAAACAACATTTGAGAAAAAAGAAAGAAAAAAAGATAAATACTCTACGATTTCTCGTGAACTTACCTTGTAGTTTTTTAAGAACAGCCACTTCCATTTTCAACACTTGCTTTGGCTGACGAGCTGACTCGACTTTCAATGCAACTTGTTCGCGTGTAATTAAGTCTTGACCCTCGTAAATCTCGCCAAAACCGCCGCCGCCAATTTTTCGGACCACCTTCCAGCGCTCCTTGACAACGTGTCCAGGCTGTAATAAATCTTCGGTCGCCATTTTTGAGTGATTCTACAGTTGAGAAAGAAAAACAGGCCCAACATTTTGAATCGAGTTTTTTTTAGAAACCTATAGTTCAATCAATTTGAACCAATAAAAACCATCAGCTGATGTGATTCGAGACCAATTTGCACCTGATCGACAGTGAAACAGAAAACAGAAAACAATACTCACATGATTTTGATTGTTATTAATTTCGCCGGCTTTATCGGTGGATGTTGAACGCACACGAATGCGTACCTTTTGTTGCAATTGCGGCGGATAATGTGTTGGTTGTTGAACGATTATTGGAATTTGTGGGTTTGGTTCGTCCTGATGGTAACGTTGATGATGCCTTAAAATCGGATTATTACGTGGATTTGCTGGAAGTGTCGCAGATCTTTGTAACGACCTTCGAGCCCCACCGTCTGGATTTTTGTCATTTACTTCGTTCCTGGAATAGAGAAGCCGAATTATAATATGCCCATTTTCTACTGTTTTTACTACAATATCATTTAAATTCAATGGTTTTATTTTAGCGATGAAAATATCTGACGAAATTCTAAGCCGTATTGCACTTCAAACAGATGCTTCACACATTCGCACAACTTGATCAAAGTAACACAAGCGAATCCCAATGCGCTTCGGAATGAAATCCTTTCGAATTTCATAATATTAGCTCATATTTCACATAAACTGAATGTAATGCACGTTAGAAAATGTCATGGAATAAATCATGCAATAACTTTCCAATTATCGTATAAAAGCTTAAGAATGAATTATTCGAGGCTCATTTCATTTGTCTCACTCCATTTCACTGTGCTGCACTCTTGCCGTCGCTATGCCGCTCTCTTGCTCTCTTTCTCAGCGCTGCTGCATTCAATCGAAAGGAAAGCTGCTGTTCGTATTTCGTTTCTTTTTTTTTTACGTTGTTGTCGTATTTTTGAAAAATGTTCTTAAAACCGGGGCAAAATGAATCGATGCTCTCACCAATTCAAACTCGAATACAATGATTGGAAGTCAGTGTGTGAATCGAATGTTCATACCAAAAATGTAAAATGCGAGCAACGTCATTGTGTTGTGCAAAAGTTTCTATTTTTCTTTCAGTTCTTATCACAACTCATCGCACGTTCAGATGGCTGCCGATATGTGTGTTGGAGAGAGAAAGGGAGAGAGAGAGAGAGAGAGCGACCGAGTGCACATTCTCAAGTCAAGAGTCCAATGTATAACAACACAACAACAGCTGACAATTTGTGATGGAAAGTGGTTTTTTTTATAGCTCTCTCAATTTATTTGCGTATGCCATTACAAAGTACACATACGGCTTTGATATATGGATTGCGATTGTCCATTTTAATATGTTCTACACATGCATATCGTTCATTTGTTGGCCTCACTGTCTCCAATAAATTTTTATGGATTTGTGTGAAATCTCGTTTAGAAATTGTGTCTGAACTCATCAACAAATGAAAATGGGAATGCTAATCTTCGGTTTTTTTTTTAGCGAGAAAAAGAAAAAGAAGAAGTAAAAGAAAGAGCTGACGTGCAGCATTTTAATAAAATGCAAGGCAAACTCTAGGGAATCGCAACGACAACAACAAAATAAAACGCAATGATCCATATATTCCTACAAACAGACTCGACATTATCTCTGCACACATATCGTTGTTCGTGTCACGAAAACGATGAGAAAAATAATAATTATAACAACAATATTTTTGTCGTACTTGAACTAGCAAGTGAGAAACAGGCAAAAACAATGTGAAAATTTAAAAAAAAAACAACAACAACAACAACAACCCAAAACAGATTGAAATGTGTTGCTCTTCGTTATCATTTCAGTATCCTCGTGGAACGATGGAAAAATTACAAACATCTAGCGGTAACGATGATGAAGACGATGTCATGGCACAAAATATCACCAGCTAAATATTGTACAAAAACAGTAGCAACAGAAGAAGGGCGAAAAATAAACAGCCAAAGCAGCAGTAGCACAGAAGCCACCGTGCATGTGAGCATATATGTATGTATATCCCTGAACAAGAAGGAGCCCACCGATTCCGAAGTGAAAACCATTGCTAGTTCTCTCATCGTATTACTTGCATCTACGCCTTGAAAACATTGATTTTTTCGCCTATGTGCGCCTGCGTGCGCATTGCTCTAATGAACTGAACGTCATTGGTCATGTTTTATTCCGAATTTAGCCGCGAATCACACATACATTCATATTTAGAGACAAAAAAAAAATGGCAATATCACTTGGAATGGAATCCCACCATGCTCACGGCTTGCCTGTCAATTTTGTTGTTTTGTTGTTGCCGCTTCATTTTCATATCGCTTGTATGTTGATGGGTCATTATGATATTTTATTCTCGTCTCTTGGTTATCGTTTTGGTCCCATACATTATTTTTTATGGGTTTCAATAGAAAAATAAAAAAATTGTGTCGCAATCGAAAATAGAATGTCGCACACACACACATATATATTCATATGTACACTGTACCGTAATCCTATCAAGAATGCAATTTGAAATTGATTTTCAACAGCAGTTTATCATATTCGTCCGGTGGGCATGCATCGATCGTGCATTTTCACACATTATCCACCACCCACCCAAAACGCATCATATTAATTTCATTTTAATTCTCGTCAGGCCACGCTTAATCTGCGTAATCAGTTTATAATCGTGAACCAAGCGACAGGATGAAATGAAAGGACTTGTCGGGTGACTCGGCAAAATGAAGTGTATATATGTATATGTATATGGAAATGGCCACCTGATACAATCGGCATATATCACAAATACACAAGCACAATTTATCCTCTCTCGCGAGCACGGTGCTCCACATGGAACTCTCCAAAATGAGTCAGAGCAAATAACGAAAAAGAAAATAAGAAGAAACGAAACACACAACTGAAACGCATGGAAAAATCAATGAAAATCCATCACTAAATAGCGTCAAATACTTTGTTATTTCTCCTTTCTATTTTTCTATTCAGCGCTTTCTCAGCTCTACTCTCTCTGTATGTATTCGCCTGTTCGTGACGACGGATATTGTGTTCATGGAACAATGCAATAACTTATTTTCCGTTGTTTTTTTTTTTTTTTTGCTTATTTCGTTCTGCGCGTTTTTTATTACCATTTCTGTTTTTTTTCATTCTTGCAGCAATTTTTTTCCACAGACTATAACGGGTATTTGGTAACGTTTGAGAGACAAGAGCTTTTTTGCGAGCAATTTTGCTTCTTTTTTTTCAATCGATCGGCTTACAACAATAACCAATCGAAATGACATTATAGGAAATTTTATCCGGATGGAAATACATACTGGCCGAAAATATAAAGAACAAGAAGGGTTGCCCACCACACACATTCCACATACATAGATGTGTTTATCGATTATTATCAATCTAGTTTATTTTTTTCTATGTCCATGTCTATAAAAGAAAAACAAACTTACTAATTACACCAATCAGTTTGAGCTCATGACACCGCCGCATATTGCTACAAATGTTCTTTTTTTTTTTAACACACGTATATGTATGGAAATTTGGCTTCTTTCCCGGTTTTTGTAATTGTAAATCCAAAGCCGATAATAGTATCAATGGCAATTTATTGTGAAATTGTCAATACACGCAATCACCGACACATCGACACACACACAACAGCACAAAGCACATGAACGAGAAAATGCGACGACGAAAATCTTTCAATATGTTTTCCCGATTCGATAAAATTAAACAAAAATGCACTTTCCTCAACCAGGATATATTTTCACATGGGTCACAATACAAAGCAAGAGCAAGAGAATATTGAATTTTTTTTTGTTTGCTTTTTGCTGCTGCTGTTGTTGTTATTTAATCCGTTTTTGCCTTGTTCCGCATTCGCATATTTAAATTTTGCATAAAAAAATGAATTCAAAACAAATGCATTCGCATTGCAAACATAAAAAATTGATCCAGACCGAAAATGTTTCGCTTTCTTTTCTATGATTCAAATAATGTGTGTCTTTTTCGTTTCCGAAACACAATGGTCGTTTTTAACACATCCAAATTTTAAACGTAGCAACTGAGAGAGCAAGGGATTTTGGTTTAAGACAAAAAAAAAAAATGAATATCGAAAAATTAAAGATCGATGTTTTTTTTACTTCGTAAAAGGACACGAATGGTTTTAATCACAATTGTTTGACATCATTTTTTGTTATTCCTTTCAATGTTCTTTTTTAGATGATATATTTTGTTTTTGTTTTTGTTTTTTTTTGCATGGCAACAAAATGTGTATAAAAAAATGAACTTAATTGTATCGCTTGTCTTTTGTGTTGTCTTTTAAAATGAATGCGGGGATGACAGAGTGTTTTTTTTTTTTCGTGTGTTTGCGAATAATGAATTCACATCGTTTTGTTTTTAGATTGCATTTTGGTTTTGTGTGACATTGGCCAATATAAAATGTTCATGCCATTTTCAGTGAGCACAGCAAACAGTTCAAAATCGTTGGAATGGTGGTGGTTGGTGTTCATGGAATGTCAAAGAGTATTTGTCAGTCGCAGCCTATCCGATTGCATTCGAGAGAATCGTATGGCCAAGAAACGATTTTTAAATTTATACACGAATCGTTCGTAAATGTTATTTTCTTTTGAATATCTTCTTTTTTTGTTGTCACAGTTCCGCTTTGCCGAGATTCACAGATAGTTAGATAGATAGATAGATAGAGATTGACTCACAAACAAAACTCATTTATTCATCGATTTCGATTTTCGGTTATGTTCTAAAACTCAGGCAGGAGTCCATTTATGCATTTTTTTTTTTATAATCAAACATGACACGACACGACACATGAAATTTAATGCATAATATACACAGAATGAACCGAACGACACACACAAAAAAAGTACAGAACGAAAAGAATTTTAGTAAAGATAGTTCACACGCAATTTTTTTTTTTAATAAGACAAATCAATAAAATTGTTGTTTCGTTTCGACACAGCGACTGGTCTCCAGTGTTTGCATTAAATGCGTTGATTTTGTTGAGTGTTTTTTTTTGTGTGTTTTTCGGTGTGCTTTCTTCAAGTATTTCTATTGTATTTTCTTCTTTTACAAGACGAAAAAATTGCACATCAAAAATCAAATACAACCACTAAATTAAATATGCTTCGTTTGTGTTTGAAGCAAACTAAACATGTTGACAGTTCGTTTTTTGGGCTCTTCGAACTGATATTCAGATACGGACTGGATGTGATGTGTATGTGTGTGCATGGCGCTAGTTTGATGGTACTGGTACACTGGTGCATGTGTTTGTGTGTTTGTTTGTTTGTGTGTGCGCTCTAGCGGTCCGTTTGCATGGGGGAACATTGCAGAATGTTGGACTACGATTGCATAGATGTGTGCGAATCACACACTCTCTCTCTCTCTCTCTCTGTGTGTGTGTGTGTGTGAGTGCTTGGCTACATTATACTTGCGTTTGACATAAAGTAATACGATGTTGTTGTGCATGTATTGGCCTTCGTTCTACTAAAATTCATTTTTCCCGTGTATACGAACGCCTGAATATGACGCTATTGACCTCTCTTTTCAACTGCTACCGAGACGCGCACTATGGCCCATTCGAATCGTGTCATTCTTCTTCGATGATTTCATTTCGGTTTATTGTGCGCTCGCGCACACCTTCACACATTTTCCCACTCACTCGGTGTGTCTCAGTTTTGCTCTTTCTCGCATTCATTCGCAGTTCGTTTCTCGTTACTCGTTCCCATTCATACACGATTTGTGTTTGTGCAAATGTAAATATATGCACGTATCCAACGTAAAGCACAAGCAGCTACTGCAATTACACTAGGTGAGAAACAGTAATGCACTGGGAAAAACCATCAAGTTGATTGTTCATGTCGATAGAATGTGTGAGTGAGTGCGGCGCGCGCGATGCATTCATACCATTCAAATGGGGACGCTTAAATACAATTCCATGCAATTTATAGCGAATCTATTGTGCCGTCTGACATGATTACATCTTTCAAAATAACTCGTTGCCGGACCAGTTATTATATGTGTGCAAATTATCGCGCATTGAAAATGTTCAAAAGCCACTTTTGCTATGTACTTTCTAGCCTTCTTCTTCGTTTAGCTGACGAGCTGACGTCTAACTGCTTTTTCTTTATATTTTTTCTGTTCATTTCAGCAAATGAAATAATCAGTATGTGTTGTCTACTAGGGGATAGACACAAGATCTGAGATACGATCGTTTTTCAAAATACTTAATTGATTTTGTGTAGAGGTGTTCAGATTCGTGAAGATTCATTGAGATTTGAAGGGATTTGAAGAGATTTGTAAAAATCTTACTGATTTGTTTGACCTTTTTGACAAGTCAGCCATTTTGATTTGAGAAGATTCATAAGGATTCATAGAGATTCAAAAGTATTTGAATTTGCTCGAGATTTGAGATTCCTACAGATTTGAAAAGATCTAAAAAGATTCAAGTTTTAAATGTTGTGTCTACCCCCTAGGTTGTCTATGACTTATACAACGCTTACGGTTTGTTTCTTTGTTTATTATTCTGTAACGATTAATGATCGCGTCTTCTGTTTGTGACGGTTTCATTTTCGAAAATTCAAATAAAATTTGAAGCGAAAAATAACGTTATTGGCAACACTTTCAGCGTAGATAACGGCGCATTGCCAAAATCTATTCTGCCGGAATTTCACGCAACGTTAGGACAATTTATGAAGATTCATTTTCGACGGATCTCTTAATAGATCCATTGGCGAAAATAAATTCAAAGATCCGAAAAACAAAATTCGACGTCGTTGGACCATTTGATACGGTGTGAATGTGTGTTCACCATTGAAGATCATACTCAATTAGACGTTATGACCTTTCATTAGTTTTTCGCGTTTTGTGTCATACGACTCGTATGCGATCGTGTTGATATACATCAAATATGATTCACTTCCTTAAGTCATTGGCAATGACTAGACACTTTGACGATATTGAAATTTGACTAAAATACAAACGTAAATAAGCTCTTCTTTCTAATTTTCACACACAAATATACACACACAAAATTTACCCACCAATTTGCGTTCACGAGTTTTGTAGCCATTGTGCGATCTCCAGTTTCGTTTTTTCACGGTAATTCCTCCACTTTTTCAGTTAAAAAAAACAATTGAAGTCCTTTTCAATTGAGGTTTTATGGTCGATGTCTTGAATTTTGCTGAAAAAAAGAATAAATTTATTATTTTTTCCAAAAAAAAATTATAAGGAATCGTTATGTATGCAAAATTAAAAGCTAAAAGTTGAAGATAATATTCCATATGTATAAATCAATTTAATTTTCATATTAACTTTGATTTTTCATTTCATTCAAATTTTTTCTCTTCTTAAATTTTCGGTGCTCTACTTTCTTCTTTTAAATTTATGATCATTCTCGATTGTGAAAGCGGAATTTTTGTTGTATTTCGATAAAATTGATGACTTCTGTTTGCATTGGATTTTTCCGCGATCCACGTAATGCAGAAACAAAAGGATCCTTTATGTCGCATTTGTGTTGCCATTCAACGCAATGGCCGCTCAAGTCAGTTGAACAAACATGTTTTGGACATTGAAAGAAACGACGACATAATTTAAAAAGTCGTGCGATTGTCATCTACTTCTAAATCCTGAGTGATTTGATTTGTGGTTGTTGCTCTTGAAATGCGACGGAAAACTGAGCGTGTTCTCCTTTTCGCATTTTCAACGAAATTCAAAGAAACAAAGAAGCCTTCTAACCGTTTGTGTTGTGTATGACAGTGTCTTTTGCCGCCGCCGCCACCGCCGCTGCTGCTGCTGCTGCTGCTTCAGCGATTGAGCAAGCAAAATGGACGATCATCGCTTAAATTTAGATACACACGCATGCCGTTACTCTGTGATATGGTGATTTATGTCATCTTTTGCATATGTATGTTTTCATTTGTGTAGATGGATTTTGTTGATGCCGAGTTTTTGATACGCGAGCACAAAATATGAAAAACAATCCGACGAAATTATTTATAAATTTTTAATCGACTGTGTCTGTCGCTTGAATTCCGTGTACTTTTCGTTGTCAATTTAGTGGAAAAACAAAGCCATTACACAGCCGCTTAAAGTTTAATGCCAGAAGTTATTTACAAGCCATTTTTTGTGAAAAGCATACACATTTACAATATACGAATGCACCTGCAAACATCATGAGTCGACATTTTTATTCTGACACATTACATGATAAGAATATCTCTTCATTCAACGCACATGATATTTCGGATTACGTTTGTTATTTTCATTTGAGATTCGTTTGTTTCAATCGCCGAAAGACAACAGAGCGACACATTTTAACGAGGGGTTTGTGTGGCTGCCAATTGCGATGCCGCACAAAAATTGACCGTTTCGCAAATGTTTCTATGTGCATCAGTTTTTATTGTTTTTATAACCCCCTTGGTTTTCGTCAACGAATACACGGCCAACAATCTGCGTGAAAAAATTATTACTTTTTGCAAATGCAAAGGTGGTCTGCCATATAAACCAAATATAAACCGCATGTGCATATTATTTACAATTTCACTTTTTTTACGACGAACAACAACAAAAGAAAATGACAACTCTTTGGTCTGTATGCACTCGGTCAGTTGATTCGCGTCGGGAGCAAGCGATGGATTAGAAAATTTTGAATCATTTATAATTACAAAAGAGTGATCAACGATCGAAATGACTTATTAAAATACACTTTTAATCACATCCAAAGTCGAGCAATATTCAATTTAGTTTCTCATTGAAAATGTCCTTTGTGCTTTAGAACACCAGAATCTTTTCATTTCTAGAAACAAAATTTCACGAAATTAGATACTCCTTTTTCAACTTACTTTCTTTTTATCTCTATAATTACTCATTTGAAATGTAAAATATCCCATTGTGTATTTTTGTCCATTTGAAATTTGAACAACTGAATACGATGTACAAACAATGATTTGAATTGTGTGTGATTTATGATCAAAATGGAGATAAATATGATTCATGGCATGAAAAAGAAACAAATCTATCTTTGGATAAGATGGACTCGGTGAATCACATAAAATTTTCTTGTCTTTCTTTTTTTACGTCGACTGGTAAGAGAAATGCGTTTAACATCTTTGAAAAAGTTGAAAAAAAAAATCGTGGCACAAACAAAACATTTCCCAAACTCATCAACACGAATTCGTTCAGTGCGAAATCAATTAAAGTCATTTTTATTCTCAGTCGCTCACTTAATTTGTTTCCGTTTTCCTTTCGCTTTTCCATCTCTCTCTCTCTCTCTCTCTCTCTCTCTCTCTCTCTCTCT